TAATTGATACAGGCGCTAACGCGGATTTAATTACCCAAACATTTATTAACGAGTTGGGTTTAGTACATCATGTAAATGAAAGCAATGGCATCGAATTACAAACTCCTAGTGGATCATTTTCCGTACTAGGAAAGGTTGAACTGCAAACTAGTTTTAATGTTGATGGGAGGCACTTAAGTACCGATCCCGTTGAATTCTTGGTTGTTGGACCAGATTGGCATGGACCTGATTTAGTGTTAGGAAAGCCATGGTTGCAAAAAAATGGTGCAACGATTGATATGTGTAATAACAAACTTTCTATACATGATAATTTTGCAATCCCAATTTTCCAAAGCGGGTAATCGACGTTTCACTGAAAATCTATATATATATATTAACCACTCACACTACGTAGAATACAGAGTGTCTTTAATCTAATGTCGTGTGTTATTATGCGATCATTAGATCTTCTCTGTTTTACGAATAAATAAGAGACATCTATTGTTGTTGTATAAAAACGATTAAGCTTATTTTTTGACATCGAATTAGGGCCTGTGCGTCGTCGTATGAGATGTGCCAAAGTTTTCGATTTCACCTATCAAAATAAATCTACAAATAATTATGATCGGCGCAGGTAATAGATCGTCCATAGTAGATAAATTTTCAATGAGTCGGCCGTGTAATTCGAAAAAAACCAATGATTGTTGATAACTTTAATAGCGTGTGTCCGTAGCAGATCGACAATCAACACCAGAGAGATTCTGAAATACGTATAAAAACAGTTCGAATTTCTCAATAATTTTTCTACTTCATAACTATAACATTCGAATAAATACAATAAAAATTTGTTAAATCAAACCACGTTAATAAATAAATTAAAAACCACGTTAATAACCAAATCAATAAAACATCATCAAATTAACAAAACGTCGTAAATCAATCAAAACCATATAAAATATAAATCATATTAAATATCGTTCTTACATTTGTCAAATCAAAGGTATGTTAATACACTTGTATCTGCTATAAAATTATAGATGTAGCGCAATTGGACTAACTGATTTTTACCCATAGATGACACCAATTGAATTTTTCAAAGCTCTAGCAGAAATGCCATTAGAGAGTTATTTTCTCATCATCCCTGTCCTGATACTTATCGTAATTTTTTTCATTGGGGAAAGGTTTTTCGTGTACCTATTCATTACTGTTATATGCTTCATTCTCTATATATTTAAACAACGGATCGATATGGATCTTGATTTATTGAAGGAGAAACAAAAAAACGAATCTAAAAAAATTGATAATAAATTTGAAGAAATTGATAACAAAATTGATGAGCTTTATAATAAAATTGAAGAATTTAATAATAAAATAGACGAACTTTCCGAAAAAATTTCTTCGCTCAGTGAAGAGATCCAACAAAGATTCCAGGAAGAAGATACCCTAACTAATTATTCAAGAAATCTTTCAAGTAATAATAGTTCAAGCAGTTCTCGAGGTAAGATTAGCCGTGCTAGCTCCGCTATTTCAATGTATAAATAAATATCTATCACTTTGAGAGACTTATAGTGAATTAATATTTTTGTATCGTATTAGGTTCAAGACGTACTTCGTTTTCAGATCCACTCTTCCAGGAATTTAAAACCCTTTTCGACGAGACCATGCGAGAGAAGGATTATTCTAAAGCCGATATGATTGCCGAAGTTGTAAGTGATCTTAAAAAGGAGAAGAAAATAAAGGTTATATCGAACAAAGCGGTAGAAAATTATTATAATCAAACAACGAAACCCGACACCAGGATTATAGGAGCAATCAAAGCTTGGATCGAGCTCAAGACTAAAGGAAAAAATAAATCCAAAAATAAATCAGCAAGCTCCGCTATTTCAATGTATAAATAAATATCTATCACTTTGAGAGACTTATAGTGAATTAATATTTTTGTATCGTATTAGGTTCAAGACGTACTTCGTTTTCAGATCCACTCTTCCAGGAATTTAAAACCCTTTTCGACGAGACCATGCGAGAGAAGGATTATTCTAAAGCCGATATGATTGCCGAAGTTGTAAGTGATCTTAAAAAGGAGAAGAAAATAAAGGTTATATCGAACAAAGCGGTAGAAAATTATTATAATCAAACAACGAAACCCGACACCAGGATTATAGGAGCAATCAAAGCTTGGATCGAGCTCAAGACTAAAGGAAAAAATAAATCCAAAAATAAATCAGCATCTAGCAATAATAATAATATCGATGAAGTTAGTGATGAGGAAGAAAAAGACTATAATAATAGTAATAATAAATAGTTTTTTTTCACCTGGTAGAGCCAAAGTATAGGGACGTATATTCATGGTCTAGGGGCCGTACGTTCTCTCCCTTGCAACTCTACCGTAAAAATCAATATTATTTATTATTATCCATATCCATGTATCTTTATTTCGCTTGATTAAATCATTAAAATGAATCATTCGAATTCTTATTTTTTAAACATAATAATAATTGTTTGTGTACGACCCATAAATTTTGAAATACTTGTATATGTAGTGCGACTATATAAATTATGCATGTTTATTTGTGCGATTAACCAAATTCGATTAATACCTCATGTACATTCATTTTCCTTTGGAAATCCTTGGCGTAAATACACATTCTTTTTTTTATCTCTTTGCATTATTCATTCGATAAATCTAGAGGAAGACGTGGAAGGAATACGTTTAAAAAGGGCAGTATATCGAGTTATGAATATTTATTGCTTTTATAGTGATTTACCGAATTCTTTATATTAAAAAAAATCTTATCTCTCTAAAACTATTATCAACATGTCAAAGTTTAGCAAGTAAAGCTCGAAGGAATCTAGTAATCAATGAAAATCGGAAGGGAAAGAAGCCTGACGTTATGGGACTATCGACTCAAGATGAAAAAATTATAGAGTTAGTATATACTGAATCATCGCGTATTTTATGCAGTGGTTCAAAGAAAGCGGATGACGATGTAAAATTATGGAGAGAAACATTGGACGGTGCGAGTTTTATTAGTGCATTGTGTAGACCGGTCGGTAACCAATTCGGAATTGTAGGAATTCAGATCGCTGGCTCTGTTATATATTTAAATATTCTTGTGAAAGATCTGGCTGGTATACCTCGATATTTCCATGTTGACCATGCCGAAATTCCATTAACTACACACAAATTGCACACTAAATCCCTCATTCGTTTATTATTGATCTTAAGAAATATTATGATAGTGAATAAAAGCTTACTAATACAGGCATTAGAACAAGCTAGTGTTCATCCACCTCGAAACGTTCAGCCAAGTCCCACCGTTACATCACCACCACATAAATAAATATTAAGGTAATATGGAAAAACATTATATATTTTTATCCTTTAGTTTATTTTTTACTATATCAATAAAACCGACCAGGTAGTCGAGATTTTCATATTCATTCGAAAAAATAAGCTGGTTAATTATAATTATTACACATATCCGATAATTTTCCTCTACATGCTGAGAATATTCGAATCAAAATTATTTACCTCTAAATATCTGCATAGTTCTACATAATCAAATATCGCTTTCGTATCTTGCGTATTCTTATTTATGATAGTTATAAAATCTTCGTCTTTTCTTTGCATGTACTTATCCCGGTTTAAAAATTGCATATACTGCGTAGGATTCGTGGTAAATTTACCTTGAGTTTTTCGTCTGTTATTTTTAGATTTGCGAGACATATTAATATCTTATGTATAATAATGACGTATTATATCAAAGTATTGAGACACATTCAATTTTTTTTTTCTAGCAAAGTGATCTCCGTTCCAAATTGGAACGCACGTGATTTTTTTAACTATTTTAAATGCATGGAATGCACGGATAAATTGCGTTGTGGGATCAGGCCAACTTGGTTCGACATATGATTCGAATATTTTAGCAGTTCTTGTAGCTTAGATGCAAAAACATTCTCATTACATCGTGTGACTGATGAATTATAAAACTATAGCACCCAAAAAAAGGCACAAAATATTTTATTATATATATATAAAAAACATATATATTATGTGTCTTTGACACTAGCTCCGCTATTCTATCTTGATGCTACCACCACCTGCATCTTCTTGGAAGGTTCCTGGTTCGGCACTAATGAATTCTATTTTTAATTTTAACCCTCCTGCTGTATGATTCTCTGGTCGTCCCGGATTATTAATGATATTATCAAGAGGTATTTCTTTGTTATTGACCATTAAATACGCATCTTCTTCGATTTTTTGAACTGACCTGATTATACAGAGTGGTGAAAATGAGGTATATATATGAAAAACAAAATTGCTTCCATGCAACTTACAATATAGTAGGTTTTTCTTGACTTAGTTTTCCTTCGCTAAATCTTTTATCGCCCCCATTATGAACAGTGAGATAAATGTTATCAAGTCCCACTATATAAAAAAGTATTATTGTTTTATCGGATTATGTCTGTGTATTCCATGCATTAACAAAATTAATAAAAGAATTTATTTACCAAATGAAACTTCAATATATCCGTTCATTGTAGAATTTTTTTCGTTAAAAAATATAAGTGAAAAACTCACCTCATAAATACGGTCTATTTATAGCGGAGCTAGTGCCAAGGCACATAGTTTCATTTGTTACCTGAGAACCTGTTAGAAGAAAAACATTAGTAATTACGTTACCTGATCATTTCTCGGATCTTTCTTCGTAAGGCAGGTCTATTAAGTCGTGGGTGTCAAGAACTAAATATATTTCGCCTTTTATGGGGAAATTAAACCTTCCAGTCTGACGATCGCTTTTGTAGAATAAAAAATAAGACAAATTTTGGCGATCTCGGATCTCAAGTTCCATAACATATGAATTTTGATATTATTACTGATAAAGAA